GTATCTGGCACCATAACCTGTAATGTACTGTTTTCCATAAAAAGTCATTTCACACACTGATCCAGTGAACGTTGAGATTGTGATCTCCAAAAAGGTGAAGTGGCATGATGGTCGTCCGGTAGATGCATGATGATTGCCAAGATCGCCAACACGAAGTACTAAGCCCTTCAGGGATCATCGATGGATATTAATGTGCGATGTCAGTGAACTACCAATACTATTCCTGTGTAAGAGTTGTACCTTGCTTGGTGAGTAACTCCTAGATTTGGCAGCTAACGCCAATTGAGAACCCAATGGATAAGTCTACTAGGAGATTCAGGAGTCGCGTCCCTATTAGTGAATAATCTCTAGGTTTGGTAGCGTGTACTAACCATTGGACGAAAAATTCTCGAAGCATTGACTAGGCAGTGCACAGATGTATTAAGATCCATTCGCAACTGCATGGACCAAAGGCATGATTAAGAGATGGTAAGGTATAAAAGGTTAGCATGGATCCTAGTAAGGGGTAAAACCAGGGTCTAGATTAGGTTAAGTGGTTTAAAAACTAGTGGTAGGATTTCCACCTCCTAAAGATCCAATTTAGAATACGGACCCACCTTTTGGGTGTAAGTTGGTATATCCGGATAAGGCTAAGGTGAAGGGGCGGGTTAACTTAGATGAACCGTTGTAGTCATGTAATTGGTATAAAAATACTCAATAAACATGTGCTATTAGCACCTTTTACCGAAAAAAAAAAATAATAAATATATAAAATAATTTATATATTATTGCATTATTTTTATTTTATTTTTTATTAATCAATAAATTAAATTAATTCAAATTTATAACTATGTAATTTGTTTTAAAAATTTTTTAATATAATGGAATTTTTAAAAATCAATTCAAAAAAGTTATATTATTTATAATAAAAATAAGACTTTATTACTTGTAAGAAATATACAAAATAGATATATGTATTGCATGATCGTCGGTGTCACCTTTTTTTTAGGTAACAATGACCATTTAAAAATGAAAGATCAATTGAATGGCAGGTTTAACTTTTCCTTTGCAAAGATGATGATTATAACCGATGAAACTATCCCAGGTAAAGTTTAAACATTTTAATATACTGTATATCTACTTGGATTCTCACCTTCTATATTCTAAAATAGACATGGAGGCTCTTGGTCAAGCCGTGACCACAGTTATTCAGCAATTTTCAAAATTCAAGAATATTAGTGTTACAAATAACGACAAGGTGTCGGAGAAGATTAAAGAAATTGAGCAACAACGTCAGCGATTCAGAGAATTTGCTAGCGAATCTATAAAGCAAAGTAGAAAATTGTCGAGATACGCGAAAGGTAGTATAAATGGCAATACCTGCTCGCACGTAAACCTGATGTTAATCGTGACCAAATTAATTTTTAGATGTCATAATTTTTGCTAAACATTGTGCAAATGACAAATTTTCGAAGGATGACCTCCATGAATTATTGAAATTACGTCTAAGCGATGCCAGACAAAATAAGGAGGAAATTGAAAAGTTGAATTCAAAGATTGAACAGATCAGAAGTGATTTAGCCGATATCAACAATTGTTTGGCGGGTTATGCAGAAGACATTAAAAAAGATGAAAAAATATTGTTAGATTCAGAGGAAAAAGAAAAATTAAAAGGGAAGGAAACCGTTAATAAAAATTTTTTGTTGTCAACGGCAATAAGTGCATCTGTAGCGGCTTTTGGGGCTGCAGCCTGCACTATTGCTGCACCTTTTAGGTATGAACCTATTTTTAATATTCTCTTCACAATTTAATCCCAACTTAATACTTTTAATCACTTTCAGTGGTGGTGCTTCCATAGCCGCTCCAGTTGCTTCATTTTGTGCTGAAGCGGGATTATATTTGGCTACGGCGGCGACTCCCGTTGCATTAGGCTCTAAAATTCTAGAAAGGATCGGAAACCGTGAAATTGTGACCCTTGAAAAAGAGCTGAGATTGAAAAGAGATTTATTAGTTGGAGATATTTCTGGGTTGAACGCTGGTCTTCACTTGGTTATACATACCTGTAGCAAATTTTCAACTTTCTGGGAGGAACAAATTGAGGAAATTGAGGCCCTTATTAATAAACTCGAAGGGTTGAATAATATCAATGCCAAGGTGATTTCTGAAAGTCTTTTGGAATCATGGAGAGACGTAAACAAAAAATGTGAAGGATATAACTATCAGGTGCGAACTAAACTTGATGACGATGCCCTAATGAAAGCCGAGGTAAATAATAAGGACAATGTTTTTGTATTTAGCGAATAACCTTATGTACTGGGTTTTTTTTATAATTAGTAACGGGTTCATATTTCTGTGGGTAAAGTCTTTAAGCTTTATTCCATAAACGTTTGTTTTCACATTTTTTACGTAGATATTTCAATCTATTATTATGACATTATAATATTTAATGTAAAAAATCACTGCAACAATCGTCAAAGACTTCTTCAAATCATTTCTTGCGTTATATCCAAGGTCAGGTTTCCCGAATACTTGAGATAAGAAGAAAACTCCCGCACATACACCAACATTCTTCGTTTAGGGTTAACTTGGATATCTTAAGAGAAAAAGCAATAATGCTTGATATTTTATCAAGAATAAATTTTCCACTTGAGAATAATAATTAAAGGGACTTAAGAATAAATTAAGTGGTAATTGTCAATTGGTTTTCTTGTGCGTGCGCACGAGCGAAATTTTTGAAACTTTATCGTTTACGAAATATTCTCACATATTTTTTAAAAGGATTCAGATCAAATACACTTTGCGTTATTCTTCATAAGAATCATGCTAGTTCTGATTATGGAAACTCCATAATTTCATGATTTAGGACAGGAATTTTATTAATATTTCGTTCATAAGATTTTGAACCAATCCTTTTAATTGAGTTTATGTTCCTGTAATAATTACGGAATAGTACAACCTGACAATAAAATTCCTGTTCGTTTTATTCGCTTCTCATGCCTTTCTGTTTGATGTAATCCCAACTACAAAAAGACTATGGATCCATAATGTGTGCCAATTGCATCTGTCAAAGATCCCAGCACCGGAGCAACACCAAATAAGCTTAAACGCGACTTGTTCGGGAGGCTTTATTTTATCTCTTATTTCTCGATTGCGACTTTTTGATCGGATGGAGTAAAGTCTATGAATAAGAGATATTCTTTGTTGTTCTCAAATCTACTTTAATATCTTGAGAATGCACTGTATATATTTTTTATGTTTGCATGATTGATTGTAAAAAGATGGAATCTTCAGTGTATTTAAAATTCCTTCGGATACCTCGGTGAGAAAGTTAACCTTTTTTCCATGATTCAAAGAGTTTTCCTTAAGAGAAATGAGGTGATTTCGGATCATTTTGAACTTTTACGAAATCCTTACCTTAAAATTTTGATCAAAACGACTATGACAGGATTAAAAAAGTGAGAGAGCTGAATATACTGTAATTGTAGTTTTCTATATTTTAATAGTTTAATAAGATAAATAATAATAACAATTTACTAGTTAAAATATATGTTATATATTTTTATGTTTTTTTAATTAATAAATAAATAATTTAATTTAAGTTTTGAATAAAAACTTTGATGAGTGAGTTAGTTACAACCTATAATTGTATACATTTTGACAAAAGGTTAAAAAAAAAATAAATAAATAATTTAATTTAATTATAGAAATACAAAAAAAAAAACTCTTTTGTGTAGATTTCTGACCATCATTTTCAAAGAAGCATTTCCTCAAAACTTATTTTAAGAATAATATAATTTCAAAACTTTTTTTAAAAACATTTGCTTTACTTAGCAATAGTCATATTCTAATTTTCTTGTTTACCTTTTCTCTTTAAAAACTCTCTATTTAAGAAGTTAATAACAAAAAAAAACATTTTTAGGAAGAAGAAACCAAATGAAAAAATATACTTCTTCTCTTTTCTATAGAGATTCCAAAATTTAGAAAAAAGTGTAAGTCAATAATTTTATGTCAACCTAGAAAATTGATATCACTACCATATAATAAGAAATAAAACTTGATTTAATTGTTAAAGATAAAGAAGAAAAAATAATTCAGGTGATCTTAATTTTAATTTAATGTAATATTCTTGTAATATAAAAAGTATATAAATATATTTAAGCACTAATATTATACTATTGTTGTAAGAAGAATACTAATTATAAAAATACTACAATTATTACAATTTTTATGATATTGTTATAGGTTACATGGATAATACGATTTATGTATAATGATCTAGAATTCAAAAACTCAAAAGTCTGATATAAAAGATTTAGTATTGCAAAGTAAGAAACTATAGATTAAAGCTCAGATATTGATAAGAAACTATGTATATCTGATAAAGTATGGAAAGTTTAGCAAAGTTTAGGATTAACATAGTCTATTATAAAATAGATAGTTTATTATTAGTTAAAAAGTATAAATAGCTTATCAGTATAAGCCAAGAAGGTAGTATTAAATATGTTAAAAAACAGCTCTCATTGGGAATTGAGATAAGAGTTAGTGATATACAAAAAAAACAGAATACGAATAAAGAAATACGTATCCTCAGCCAAGTCAATTACTATGTTTCTGCCTTTCCTAAGTGTTCTTTATAAAAGACATTATCTTCTTTGTATCAATTGTGAGTATTTATTAATCATTTGGATTACATAAGGTGCAACAGATTAGCGATGGACTTGCTGAATTAACTCACGATATTACAATGAATTAGTTAAATTAGGATTAATAGTTTAGCTATAATATGTATCATATTGCTCAAATAAAAATGTACTTATATTTTTAATTGCTTAATAAACTAACAATTTAACCTGGCTATGAGTACTCAAAAAAAAAAAAATCTTTTTATTGATTCTCTGATCATATATAAAAAAAATATTCACAAGAAATTTTTATACTTCTTGATCAATAAAATTTTTCACTTTCCTTAAAATAACTTAAAATTTGTCTTCAAGAATTACTGCTATTCTTTTTTACTTATTTACAAACTTTTTTTGAACAAAAACTTGAGTTTTTAATAATTTAAATAGACTCAAGTAAATATTTCCATTATTAAAGATCAAAGATTCTAGAAAGTAAAAAGATTAACTTGTAAAATGTTATCTTTTAGTATTAGAAGTGACATAAATATAGAGATTTTTTGGATATAAAAAGGTTTATTATCTATCTTTTTATATACTGTTTCTTTTCTTTTTAAAGTATCTATAGTTTTTTATAGTTTTTTTGAGGAATTTTGTTTATTTCAACTTGATTTTGAATTTCTGATAATATAATATTGCTTGGCTTATAATTGATTAACATAAAACATATTGGTAATAAAATGTAAACAAGTTTTTAAAAACTATTAATATAAAGTTCTTTACTTTTTCAAATAAAATATAACTGAAATAAATAAATAATGAAATCATTAGAATAGGTACTAAATTTTTTAGATTATAAAAATAGGATTATTTGTTCAAGTTAAAAACTTCAACTTCTTATTATCCTATATAAAGGAGATTATTTTCTTATTTCAATTAAGCAATAAGATTTTTTTTTTTAAGTCCAACTGATGGGACAAATCTTTATTAAGGAATCAATAGTACATTTTCAGATTACATAAACAATTCGTATAATCTTTTAAACTATCTATTCTAGTCAAGTTTATCAATTTTATCACATGGTAGTACTATTTTTATCAGTTGCTCTGTTCTTCCCAGGTCAGTAATGTTCTGAAGATCTATTACAGACTTCTTATTTTCTTCAAGTTTCAAGGAACTTGTGATATATGTTCTTTAGTATGGTTTTGTTTGTCACTTGATGATAATAAATATCATGGATGATCCTTATTATATATAATCCTTAAAGGACTGGTCCTAATCTTAGCTATTTTATATATAATAGTTATGTGTTGATATTCAAGTGGTTCAATGATATATTATGCAAATGACATATAGTTTCCTATTATGACCATTTTTAATCACTTTCCAGGTATGGCCTATGAGAGATATTGTTTACTTGGTAGAACAAGGCTTAGGACTTTTCCAAACTCTATTCACTATGGTTTTCATTATGACACTAATACTAATCACCAACCTCACTACAAGCTGTTTTCTCTAGTAGCCGTTGATTTTACAATCCATAGGATCTCCCATTAATTCAAGTTTGTTATGACCCATTATGTTTTTTCAATTGGGGCAAATAACTGAAGTCTCCCAAATCTCCTATGAGGGTGTTTTTCAAGAAAAGGCAGATATTCATATTTTCCATTGGAGGCATGGACCAATAGTATTGATTTTCAACTTTTTTTCAATATCTTTACATATTTCAGATAATGAGGATCTTTTTTTTTTTGCCTGGTACTAAAACTGACCAGGACCTGTGTGACCTATTTTTATTACACCATGGTCAAACAGTGAGTTTCTATAGGTTGTTTATATTCAAGTATATATATGACTGATTAGCATGTATTTTTATACAATGTAACCTATAATGCAAATACTGTTCTGAAGTGGAATTGAATCAGTAACTTGTGAATGATAACCTGGGAGTATACCTACTGCACTATTGACCCACAGGTCCAATTAGGCTATAAGATCAAAAAACTGAAGACTATAAGTTACTATACTTCTTTAGGATTGAGAATATATTTTTTCAAATATTGTATAATAATATTATAATCGATAAGGATTTTTATTATTCTATAATATCTTTTTATTATTGTAAGGTGAAAAAATTATTGAAGAATTTAACTTTTTGAGCAATAAAATATACTTATCAATAAAATTCTTTTAACTAAATATAATTGATGAAAAATATTAAGAGTTATATAACATTATTAAAAGGTTATAGTATATAAAAATCTGAAATCTATTATAAACTATAGTTAAAACATAGATAAATATAATATCAATATTGCTGATCCTCTGCCCACATACAAAAAAGATGTTCGCAAGAAATTTTTTATTTCTTTGCTAATAAAGTCTTAACACTATCCTTAAACCAACTTAAAGTTTTACTTTAAGAGATACTCCCAAACCCTTCCTCTTGTTTATATTCATTTTCAAACAATAACTTGGCTCCCTGTGATCTAGAAAAGTCAAGAAACATCTTCTCTATCTATGGCAAGAAAGTTCTGAAAGGAAGAAGAACTAATAGTGTAGTACTTGAAACCTTTCATATTGAAGCATATCTATAGAGGTTTTTTGCAGTAGGAGGTGGTGAATATCAAGCCATATTTCAACTGTTTCTTCCCTCTTATAGTCACACAAAATTTTTTTTAGTTTTTTGGGAAATTTTGCCTACCTCAGTTTGACCCTGAATTTTAAGTGACACAATTTATTGCAAAATATGATTGGTGGACATGAAACACATTAGTAGCTGAATGTAAACAAGTACCTATTGGTCACTTCATATGTTCCGATGACATCATTGGTAATAGAAAGAGTTGATTGGTGCCCCGTGTTCACCCCTCTCCTCCAATTGGGTTAATCTACAGATCAAGTACCATAAGGCTAATAAGATATAAGCAACAAGTCCCCAGGTGATGAAAAAACTACTATTTTATTCAAGCTGAGGTCTTTCTTTCCTATCATCCCAGTCAGACAAAGTTCAAGACCAAGGTCTCCTTTTTATCCCGATCAGACAATAAGACCGAACGGTTTCTAGTCCATGCTAAGTTCCAACTCTTTGGTTACAGTTGAGAATGCATTTTCCCAGAAGTTGTTGAAAGATATTGCAATCGACGAGGATCCCTATCACTATTGTTACCCTTCCACTATTACAAGGCAAAAGGATTATTGGGAAATCTGGCCTTTTGGGTAATGGAAGATGTACATCAGTAAAATTCCTTTAATTAGATGTGACTGCTGGAAGGTATCACATTGAAACAACATAACCTAGTCCTTACTAGGTTATATAAGAACCTAGAGTCCATTATAAGTCATCTCTCTATCACAGATGAATAAAAAATCACTGCCCAAAGAAGGTTGGAACCAAGTGTGTCTGGAAGTAAAGGCTCCCACTAGGTGATAAGTCTCTTCAGACAGTACACAAGAAGAAAATCAAGATCAAGAATGAATAAGTTCCTCAGATGGTTAGGAAAAGAAAGGATATCCCAATCAGGCATTTCTTATTGAGAAGAGGTTTTGAGAAGCAGGTCTTTGGAGAAAGCTGAAAATATTTTTTCAATTTTTACTCTTTCATTTTCTTGTTGTCTGTTTAGATATTTTTAGATATCCCCCCTTCCCTTTTTTCAACCCATCTTTTTGTAGTTTCTTGTATTCCAGTGGCTTGGTTAGACATATAGCAGCAACAACCTGCTGGCAATGATGCAGTGAACTAGTAGGGTGTTTACCCAAAGACACTGCAGAGCAAAATATTATCCTCAAGGCTAAACTTAGAGACTTTTATGCTTATGACGAGTTAGTTAGATTAAAATAATAGTTTAGCTATAGTATGTATTATGCTACTTGAATAAAAATGTACTTTTGTTTTCAATTGATTAATAAACTGACAATCTAACCTGGCTATGGGTATTCAAAATAATAATAATAATAATAATAATTTAATAAATAATATAAAATTATCTAATAATAAATATTATTTGTATTGTAAATATTAATTTAATATAATAAATATTTTTATAATTGTTATTATATATTGAACTTAAAACTTTTTCTACTAATTCTTTGACTATACTCAAAAATAGTATTCAGTAGAAACAATATATCTTTGATTTATTTCATTATTTTTTAAATACTTTGCAAGATACTATAAAGTATATTCTTAATCTTTTTTTTATCTCTTCTTTTCATTTTTTTCTGTTTGTCCTCAAGTATTTATGTTTACAAAAGTGTAAAAGTAAAACCCTATTCATTAAGACTCCTAATAGGAAAAAAGATTTTTTGGAAAGGAAATGTATGAGTAAAGACTTCTTCAAGATCCTTTCTATTGAGGCAAAAGATTCTATAAAGTTTCAATTTTTAGGTCCCGTCTCTTAGGAAATCTGAAGAAATCCAGATAGCACTTTAAAGCCATATAAGAATTCTCAAATAGTGTTTTAAAGAATTTTGTCTACCATAGCTCACCCTTGAATTTTTTATTACATTAGAATCTTTAAAATTTCATTGGTCAAAGACACTGGTTAAATAATATTATATATAAAAAAAAAATAAACAACTTAGAATTATATGAATACATGTTCTCAAATCTATAAGAACTTGAAGTTCACTATAAGTAATTTGTAAGGATACATATAGATACATTTCATTTTCTTTATAATAAAATATACTACTACTATTTTATCTACTATATCAAATATTAAGAACTTAATTTACTATTATTTTCTTATTGATTTAGTTTTTAGAATATGGAGATCTAGCATATATTTCTTTACTTTATTGTATTAATTTACTAATCTAACAAGATAGAATATAATGTATTGTATTAATCTACACAACTATATTTAGTTCCTTCCCTGATTTTTTCTCTTATGAAATTGAATTCCTTATCTTTAATAAATAATAATATTAAATAGAGTAGTAATTCATATCATAGTTAAGTTTCCCTTCTTTATCTCTATACAAACATAACTAGATAGATGAATATTTTAAAGAAATTTCTTTTTCTTACTTAGTATTAATAATTAACTTCTGAATATAGTTAAAAATTAACTAGAGAATAATTTTATCAAGAAAAATGGTTCAAGTTTTTTATATCACTGAGGTAATTTTAAGTAAAGGTAAATAAAATACCAAGTTTTTAAATGGAAGACTTCATTGTAATTAAAAACTGATAGACTTTACACAACTTTGAAGAATATAAAAGGAAAAATAGGTCTCATTTCACTTTTCCCACTGGGTTTTTAATAGAACATTTGTGGATTGAGTAATAGTTTTCTCCTGTATAAGCTGCAATGTAATAATAAGCAATAGTATTTTACTTTCTCTGAAGTAAATTCATAAGACATAACTTTGATAACCTATTTTGAGTCTGGCATTATTATATATATAATATTCTATTAAGACCCCAGTCCTATTGAATATATGACTTCTTTTCTAATATCTTTTTTTTTGAGAGGTTTTTAAAGTTACTTTAACTACTATAGTATAAATATAAAACCTATTTTCACAATATTCTTTCTTTCTTCTCCCTTTTCATTTTTTCTAAAAGATAAAACATTAGTGGTAATTTATATATATTGGTTTTTTAAAATTGCAAAATTGTTAAACAGCAAGGATTTTAATCACAGTATTTTATTGTAATACAATAATTAGATTTGTAGTTTATCTAGAGTATAACTTCTCTAAAACAAATATACCTTTTTATTTTATTTCAATAAAATTGGTCTTATCTATTTTTTTTTCAAATATATATATTGAACTTATACATCCCTCCCCTATATTACTGAAAATTAATAATCAATAAATCTAATTTTTTTTTTCATTTATAAAAAAAAATATAGCAATATAAAAGAAAAAAAATTCTATTTTATGGTAAAAAAATGAAAAAAATTTTTTTCTAATATTTAGTATACTGTATCTACCTTTAACTCTGATAATATTTTTGGTACATTTTAATATATTTAAAATTAGATTATATAAAATATCTATAGTAATATTTGTCCATTCTTTCTGTACAACCCGAATTAAATCCTTTTTTGATTGGAGTAAAGGTTTTTTTTTTTAAATTTGACAATTAAGATAGTTTCACAAGTGTTCAATTGGATTTAAATCTGAACTTTGTAAAATCCAGTCTAAAATCAGAATATTATATGTTACCATTCACCAAGTTGTATAATATGATGTGTGATTTGGAGCAAGATTTTATTGAAATGTTGTATTTGGATTATTATGAAGGTATAGTATTAAATAATTTGTTGATGTATTAATATATATGTTGGAATTTATATTTTCTTCAATTATTACTAATAGTTCAATTTCATACTAGCTAAAATAACTTTAAAACATAATAGATTATTTATCAAATTTAACTATAAATTGAATACAATTTTATTATAAGCTTTGCCTATTTCTCTTCATACTTTTATCTATTCATCTGATTTAAATAAAATAAATTTAAACTCATCTGACCATATAATTTGTATCTATTTTTCTTTTTAATTATATTTAGTTTGACATCATTTTAATCAATGAATTTGTTGGTATTTGGTTAAAGAGAATTTTTTGTGTAATATAACTTTTCAAACCAAGATTATGAAGAGTTTTTTAAATAGTTTTAAAATTATAAGTTGTGTTAAGACTTTTATTTAATTTGTCAGTAATTTTTTTAAGAATAAAAATCTGTTTTTTAATATAATATATTTCAAATAACGTTGATCATGATTTGAGAGGGTTATTGACCAACCAGATCATTTCTTTGGATGAGAAGTATCAGTTTTTTTATAATAGTTTATAGTGTCATATACCATTGTATAAGAAATTTTTAACGCAATTGCTATCTTTAGTCCATTTGAACCTGTAAAATAAGCATCAATTATTTGATCTCTTTTTTTGATAGTTAGTTCATTTCTATGCATTTTTTTAAAAAAAAAAATCTACAAAAAAAAATCAAGTTTTTATAAGTATAGTTATCATTTGTTCTTATATTAAAAAATGGAAATGAATGAAATAAATTTTTTCTTTATTGATTGATAATTATTGATTTCTGGTAATATAGGAGAGGAGTGTGTATTTATTGAAATTATAACTTTTTATATTAAAAAAATAATTAAAAAAAAATTTTATCTAATTATAATTAAAGATTATAAATATATTTTTAAAAAAATTTTTTTTAAATAAAATTATATTTAATTATAATAAATATTACAAAATATTTTAATTATTTTTAATATCAAAATTATTTAACTTTATAATAAAGAAATTAGATTATTTTTATTCTATTAAATATAAAAGGAATTAAACTTGATTTTAAAGAAATAATAGAATCTTGATATATTAATTAAAAATATTTTTAATAAAAATTTTATTTTATTTTATTAGAAAGATCAAAATTTCTTATTTTATATAAGATATAAGTTTATTAAATAATAAGTTTATATGATAAAAATATAAAATAAACCTTAGAATATTGAAATATAATACTTAAAGGCATAATATAATGACTAGTAAAAAATTGTTTTTTTTTACTTAAAATCAAATGTTTCTATTTAAAATGTGACAATAAGTTTCTTGAATGATAATAACAATTTAAAATAATAAATTAATATTTTGATTAAGAAATGATTAAAGTTAAATTTAATAAGTAATTATTTTTTTTAACAAGTCATATTGAATAAGATAAATATAATTTATAAAATTATATTAGTTTTTGAATAGTTTTTAAAGTCTATTTATATATCAGTTGTAATCAAATATTTATAAAAAAAAGAATTTTCACAATAGCTTAAAAAAACGGTTTGTTCCATACTGTACATAGCTAATATCAAAATTGTATTTAATACATGATTTTTTTAAAAACCTTGATTATTAGAAAAAACTATATACAATAAGTTAAATTTCAACCAGACCGAATCATTCATTAATAAAATTTTTATATTTTAAAAAATTGTTGGATGTTCTATTGATGCCGATGTACTCGTTGAGATATTATTATCAAGAAACCGTAAGTAAATATACGTTTCCAAGTATAGGATTCATTAAGTTATCAATATAGTTTCTTTGCAACATATCTTTGCGCCTGATGAGTCGACTTTACATTTATCTTTTTGCGTTTGGCTGTTTATTCTCGAAAGTTTAAGATTTCAAAGATACGCATTTTGCCTTAAGAAATTATTTGAATTCAGAAAGCTGCAAATTTGCAGTAATAATAACAAACTCACTTAATCCATAGCGAAACTACATAATCAACAACCAACCATCTTCATTTGGAATATGTAGAGTAATTACAACTTCGCTGCCAGAATGGATGGAAACCCGATCAGGACCTAAAGCTAAACTCATGAAACCTAACTTTATCTTAATTCTGTAAAAAACAAAAAAAAAGATAATAACATCAGAAGAGTTATTTTGAAATAGCGAGGGTAACGAATAATTAAAAATTAATAATTACACCAAGATTCAACAAGGAATTCTCGGTAACAATATAATTTAAGTTTTTATGATTGACTGAACATTGATTTTGAATCTCCCTCCAGGTACGTTTTATTTCATCGCCTAGTTGACTTGGCAGTCGAACTTCCATATCCACACTTAACAGTTTTAGTTCGTCAAGATTTTTACTAATAATTTCAACTTGAGATTTCCAAAAATCAGTCAAAATGCTTAAATTATTGTCTACCGCCGGAAGTCTGTTCTTGATGGAATCGATGCATTGAGTGAATTCGACCATTTTATCATCATGAACTAATTCTTTCTTGTCACAAAATAGTCTGTCTTTGGCCCATGCTATTGTTGGAGTTATTATTTGATCCTTCTTATAAAAAAGATATATTAAAATAAAAAGGGTTATTGGAAAGGTTTTCTCTTTGATTAAGGATACGTGATCGAGGTTTCTGAACGATTCAACTATTGATCCTATTGATCCAAAGAGGAATCCTGATTTGACGTTATTAACGGCTGACTCTGGTGCACTAAGTAGAGAATTAATGGGTGAATTCGAGGTATCTGTGGTTTCCTGTGACGTTGGCTCAGATCCTTGTTTCGAAGTACCCTTATCATTATTATAGGAATTAATCATAGTGAATAATGACCCGGAACCTGGCGAAAAATGATTATTTTCATCTTTAAAATAATTAAGGAATATATTCAGAAAGTGTGGCAACTTAGGCTCTTCTGTAGTTTTAGGTGGCGTTGACGAGGTACTCAACTGCCGGATGACATTGTTAGACTGATCCGTTTTCGATGGTCGCACAGATTCCTTCTCGGAATCTTCGCGTTGATTTGTAAGACTCATGCTACTGATCGATCGCACAATAGGAATAGAAGACCATGATGGAAGATAAAAAATTACAATGCTACAAGCTAGGATCTTTGTAATTTCTTTTATAGGAAATCTGACTTCATCTCTGGCATTCGTAATTTCTTGCGGGTTAGAATAAAGTTGAGTAAAACTTTCTTTAAACACATTGAATTCTACCCTCAATAAGTTCGAGTTCTCGGCATTTTTTTCGGCATCATTTAATAATGATTTTAATGTTTGCACAATGGTTCCTATATTAATTCTTCCCGAAGAAAGAGAATTCATATAACTTTCTACATCTCTCGCATAGTTTTTTACTCTTAAAGATAAAATCGCTCTTCTACTAATAATATCGTTATACAATCTGCTCTGTTGATTGATATTATTGTCCTTAATGTCGAGCACTATATTCAGTTCTCTCGCTTTTTTAAACCATGCCGTAGTCACCTCGATTAACTTTTCAAGTATAGTAAGGTCCGGGACTCCAGGATTTTGCCAAAGTTCAAAATTAATAGACATGATTAGAAAAAATTTTTTGATCGGCGTAATCTTTTCTTACGCATAAAGCTACAGAAGTGGTAATGACGTAATCATCATAATGATATTCTGATCCTTACGAGGAATAGCGCAAAATCTATGATAATAAAATCTAGTGCAGAAGCTTTCGTCTTATCTCATGTATTCAACCTTGGATTTGACGCATGAAATGGTTTTACCATTGTTTTACATTTCGATAATAGATTGAAATACTGTATTTATGTAAAAAATGTGGAAAACATTGTTTATGAAATAGGTGCTTAAAAATTTTGCCTACAGAAATTATGTATCCGTTGCTAGTCAAAAAAATTAATTAGTCTACGATTTACGATGGGACCGTACCATCAATTTGGGGCCACATCAAAAGAATGTTTTCTTCACATTGTTTATTTGCGCCTCTCCACAATCCCAAAGACTGATAGAAATCAATTCAGAACCGAAAACTCCTTAGTCATCAAATCGAGTTTTCCAATAAGACCCTCGATATCCACGTCCCAGAAATTTGAAATTGCACGACAGACGTAATCTTAATAATTTGTGGAGTCAAACTTTCGAGAATTTATTATCCGTACAGCATTCATAAAATACGCATTTAAAAAATTAAACCAAAACATTATTAACATCAGGCTTACATACGAAATGAAATATTATTCACCTACCATCAACAATCTTCTACTTTGATTTATAGACTCGATAGTATATTCTTTAAATCGAAGACGTAGTTGTTTGATTTTTTTCAACCATCTCCGACATCTTTTTGCTATTTTTACATCAACATCCTCGAATTTTGCAAAGTTCTATTATAAATTATGATTTGTAATGTGAATAAATAAACATCATATGAACTGTGCTTTTCTTTCTTTCATTATTCTATGAAAGAGTCATGGTTATAATAATGAGTATTTCTTTCATTGAGATAGAAATAAAGAACTCACTCTGATCATAAAGACATAATCACTCTCTTCAAGTTTTTCCATTCTAATTTAAAGGTTTTTTTATTCTTTATATAATACAAAATTTCACATACTGAACTCATATTCTTTTTTTGAACATGCTTTATATTTGATAATAAATTACAATTACCAGGATTATTTTAAAAGTATTTTTTTCCTTTCAAGAAATTAGCAGGTCAGACCAATAGTAAGTTAGTTAAGAGAGATCTGAAAGAATTAAAAATTTAAATAAAAGGTGTTTGGTTTTCTAAATGAATAATAGTAAAACTTTAATTCATCAAATATTTTTGGTAGCAAGCTATTCAATAAATTTGTCAAAAACTCAAATTTTAGAAAGTTTAATAACATATATCATGTATAGACCATAGTGACAACCTTTATAATCTCTATAATTTTTTTTTGAAACAGAGGTTCAGTTATATTTATTGATTTTGATAAAGTAATATACAAAATTAATTGCAAAGATTACAAATATTACTGCTATGATCCATATATTATTTATATTATTAAACTCTTTAAAACCCAATCTTTAATGAATTTATTGAATAGTTAATTGTTCAAAAGTATTTGATTGATTAAATTTCTATTATTATCTATCTAGAAAAATTAGACATCTCTTATTTGAATCTTTAATTTTTCTGAATTCTTTTAAACTAACTTGTTATTATTTAATTTATTAGTTTCTTGAAAGAGAAAGTACATCTTTTATATAATTCTGATAATTTTTTTTTTTTTAATCTGCAATCATGCTGCAATGATATGTCTTTATTGAGATATTGAGAAATACCTAAATATTTTATAGACTTTCACAAAGCAACTAACTCATCGTTGTATATTATTAGTTAAAAAACTATACTACTTAAAAAATATGAGGAGTCCACTAAGCTAATTCAGATTAAACAAAACTAAATCTAAACTAGATATTCTAAGTTAGATTTAGGAAACAATATCTCGCTCTCCTAGTAACTTGGCAATAGTACCTTTAAACAATCAGGATTATTGTCAATAGTTTGTCACTATTGATTATCCCAAAAAACAATGAATTGCTAAAGTTAATACTGGGAAAAAAGGAAGGAAGAATACAATTCAAAGCCCTCTAAAAGGTTCTTGCTCCATTTTACAATTTTCTCTCAAAAGGGGTTTGCCTGATTGGGATATTCTCTAAGTTTCATGATATTTGAGGAACTTGGTCATTCCTGAAAGTGATTTCAAAAAGAATATTTGAGGAATTTATCCTTCTACTAATATATAGAATCACTTATCACTAGTGAAACCAGCACTATATTACAGAAAAGTTTACCTAACTGGAATAAAGAAATCTTTTCAAGAACTTTGCCTGACTAGGATAGAAACTTGAAAACCTCAACTTTTATCCAAGAAAGTCTTTTTACCATTTGAGGAACTTAATGAGAGATGGGAATTGGATCTTCTATTCCTATCCATCGCTTGCCTTTTGATATTATAATTGTTTCTTGGAGGTTGAACATATATGATTGAAGGGAATATTTTTTCTAGAACTTTTTTTTCTATATTATCAATGATATATCGAGACACATGAGTGTGACCAATAGAAGTTTGTTTATATTTCAAAAACTGACATGTTTCATATCAGCCAATCACCTTTAGTGAGAATTTGTACTATTCAAAATTCAGAGTCAAACCGAGATAGGTAAATTTTCCAAAAAACTGTAAACATGGAAGCTCTAAGAGAACCAAGATAGTCAAAAAGAAAGAAAATAAGTCTTTTTACTATATAAAACCTCTATAAACCTCTCACTTCAAAGGTTAAAAAGACCTTCAGGAACTTTACAGTCAGTTCTTTTTCCTTTGAAAACTTTCTTGCCATTGGTATCAAAGATACTACTTGACTTTTCTTGATTAATAGAAGT